CAATCCACTCACCTCAGCCTCCCAAAGGTGCGGTATTACAGGCTGAGCCACCGAGCCCAGCTCTTTTTACATCTTAATAAGAAAGTGACATTAAAAAGTGGTAAAAGACAGTTGGAAAAATGCTTATTTATGTTCTGTGAAGTTATAAGTAAAATGAAGAATTCCAAGTAATAAATATTTTAACACTTGCTACATATGTAACACTGTGTAGGTCTTCTAGGAGGTTAAAAAAAGAAGTGTAAGACCCAGTAGTCCTTTTCTCAAGGAATTTATTACATAGGATGTACTTCAGTTAAAGCTGAGGGCCTCCATGCCCCTTAGAGACTTGGGGGGAGTAACTCAAACTCCCTAATACTGCAGACTCAGGAAGTCCAAAGCCCTCCTCCCAATTCCTGGGACTCACCAGGTGCATCCTCTGTCTCATATCTTCTCTATACCTGGAATCCAGCTTTGATATGTGTGATGATACCTGACTACACTGGACTGAGCCCCATGTGAAGCTCAACCTTGTTAATGGGAGGAAGACAAACAAACAACCAATCCAATTTTTACAAAGGCTTGAAGAGCAGAGAACATCTAGCTGAAGATTTCTGTGAGAAAGACAGAAAGGAGCAGCTGCTTCAAAAGAACATGAATGATAAATTCTTCCCCTTGGCTCATGCAGTATGGCTTCCATTATTCTTTGAGATCTTGGTACCTGCTGGTATCTGTGCTCACAAAATGCCATCTTCCTCAAGCAGACTTGGCAAGATGTTTCTTCAAACAAAAACATTTCCTCCTTTAAGAGGAATTTAAGATAATACAGTTTTAAAAGTCATTAGACACATATAAGAAAAATTCTCTTAGACAAACTGGAATCATGTATAATATTGATTATATAGTTATAACTGTGGTTGTAAGTATAGTAAATCCAGATTTGTATAGTTATCCAGATTTGGTCCATGAAGAATATGTGGAGAAAGAAAAATGAAGGAAATGAATAAGCAGAGCAGAGAAGTCATCATACTTGTCACAGCTATTCTCTGAGTCCCCTTCTTTAGCAAACATTTACTGAACTTGTGGTCATCCTGGCTGGTGGGGAGTTGTGTGCTGTCACTGAGTATTATTTCTATTTGCTTTTTGGGTCACTTATGCTTGAATTCACCTTGCAACTGAAATAGTTTCATCTAGTGGTCATATTTCAATCATATTTCACTTCTCCACTATTTGATGCATATTCTTTGTCACTTAATCCTTGAAATACCTCCACTGGGTAACATGACATCACTCTCATACATATGAGTCACATAGATAGATGCTAGAAAAACTCTAATCTGTTATTTTGACTGGGTTTTAGTAATTTCCAAATAATATTTAAACACAATTTTTTTTCTCTTAGTGCAGTCAACACTAGTGGTTAGTTAATTAACTAGACTATTTGGTTATAATAGGGAATAAAATGTATGGACCAGGTACAGTGGCTCACACTTGTAACCCTAGTACTCTGGGAGGTCTAGGCGAAAGGATTGCTTGAGCCCAGGTGTTCGAGACCTAGGCAACATAATGAGACCTTGTCTTTACAAAAAATGAGTCAGGCATGATGACCTGCGCCTGTAGTTCCAGCTACTCAGGAGGCTGAGACAGAAGGATCACTTGAGCCTAGGAGGTTGAGCCTGCAGTGAGCTGCGATCATGCCACTGCACTCCAGCTTGGGTGACGGAATGAGATTCCAACTCAAAAAAAGTATGGTACAAGCACATTTCAAATATTTTAATTTCAGACATTTGCCAATTTTTGTTACCTCATTTGTGAAGCCTTAAATGACCCTCCACAAATAATTACTCCTTGCTCTATTATTGCTATACTTTTTATATATCTCTGCTATTGCCTTTATTATATTGTAATGTCATTATTTCTTCATAGGATATTTTCCCCTAATAGACTGTGTGCTCTTGGAGGTCTTGGTCTTGGTATTAGCATCCTTTTTCCTAGCACTTGCCTAGGGCTTGGCATATAGTAGGTATTAGTGGATGTTTATTGAACTAGTTGGAATTTGTAACTATTATAATAAGGTAAAATCTAATATGATCTGAGAAAAAGGTTTTCATTTTTGATTGGTGTAGAGGAAATATTTCTCTTTAGCTGTTTTGGGAATAAAATCCTATTAAAAATTTTAAATTTTAAGCCTGGCCTAACGAACTCATAAATGTTGGATGTGGATTTAGGTCCTTGGATATTTGACACTGTTTTCTGAGGAACACTGACACTATCTCCTTTTTGTCTCCAGGACATTATTAGACTTCATCATACGGGAATATTTTCCCTCAGTAGATGTCAAAGAACCTAATAGATACGTGGTAAGTGTTTAAAGAGTAAAGGCAGTTCTCTATTTTCTCTTTTTGGCCTGTAATTAGAGATTATAATGTAGACCTTAAGAAACTAAAGCTAGGGAAGGAAGTGTAGAGCACTTTGAACATTTTTGTTAAACCACTAGAAAAGATAAGATGAACCACTTCTTAAATAAGGTATAGACAAGACTGTTATTTTGTTTAAAAGATACTTAGAAAAAAAGAACAGGTGTTCCTATATCCTGATTGTGTATGTTATTTTTTTGAGCAGCATTTATGACTTGATCACATATGTTCTTTCCTCACACATTGTTTATAGATATTTCTAAAATAATAATAGTACTAAAATAAACACAATGCATAATAGCAAAATGTGATTTTGTATTCTTGTGGAAAATTTTTTTAATCTTCATAACCCCTTTTCATTCTTTTAACAGTCACAGAGATGGGAATTCTATTATTTTTCTTGGTCACACATTTCAAAGCTTAATAACTCACACTGCTGAATTTCAACTCTCTTGTGATGAGTTCTATTGCTTTTACCTTTCTTACTGAACACAGAAGCTTGATCATATTATCTCTCAGTCTTTTGTATATTATTTCTAGATGAGTAATTTTACTTTCTTCTATTTTTCTTACATGTACTAATTTCCAATCTAGTAGTCATCTTTTGACCCATCTTTGAAGTCTTCCCATATTCTGCTTGTGCCTTATCAGAGGATCCTAAAAGAGTACACATTGATAAAAACATGAACCATTTCTAAATTTTATTTTAGGATTTTTTTTCTGTTGTGGTATCCGAGACAGCACAACTTATTGCCTTGTGGATGTCTGTTGGTTTTGCTCATGGTAAGTTATCTATTGATATTTCAGTCTTCTGATGAGAAAGTAGAATTAGTCTGTTGAAGTAGAAGAGTTCTTTTTAGAATGTTTAAAAATATTATTACTGCTGAACTTCTTAACATTTTAAATACAGTAGTTTCCCCTTGTCTGTGGCTTCACTTTCCATGATTTCAGTTACCCATGGTCAACCATGGTCTGAAAAGATTAAATGGAAAATTCCAAAAACAAGCGATTCATAAGTTTTAAATTGTGTGGTGCCATTCTAAGTAGCATGATGAAATCTTGCTCCAGCCCACCTGGGATGTGAATCCTTTCTTTGTCCAGCATGTTCACACTGGAGACACTCTCTGCTGTGAAGTTAGTTAGCAGCTGTCTTAGAAGGCAGGCTGTTGCAGGATTGTTGTGCAGGTATTCAAGTCACCCTTATTTTACTTAATAATGGCCCTAAAGTGCAAGAGTAGTGATACTGACATGTTTTTATAATTGTTGTATTCAATTATATTATTAGTTATTGTTGTTAATATCTTACTATGCCTAACTTATGAGTTAAATTTTATCATAGGTATGTACATATAGGAAAAAACATAGTATGTATAGGGTTCAGTGCTATGTGTGGTTTCAGGTATCCACAGGAGGTCTTGGACAACCTCTCTTCAGATAAGGGAGACTACTGTATGCACATTTATTTTTAGCAGCAGGGACTTTTTTCATACTTAAAATGGATTTGAATGGAATAGTAATCACAGAATATGATGACGTTACCTGTAAAGCTTTTTAACCTCAAGATTACATGTATGAGTATATATTATATTTAAATCTCTTTAAAGCTATTTAAAAATTTTACTTATTAGAGTACTATGTGTTTATGGTAAATAATTAAAAATATCCAGGAGTGGGAGTTGCAATTTCCAAGATTATCACTATTAACCATTTTATATCAATTCTTCTAGACTTTTTCTATGATATAAAAATTTCTCCAGCAAAAACAAAAGAGGAATCCCTGTTCTCTTAGTGTCCTGCAGCTGCTGACTGTCCTGCGGTGCATATTCATATTTTTATCTTTTCCCCTCTCACGACCTTTAAAAATTAGTCTTATTCCTTTACTTATCTCAACCCCATCCAAATAATATATATTTTTAAACAACGGCTGGAAGTTGAGGATAAATAAAAGAGGAAGTTCCATTTCTCAAATACTATAGGTTTTATTCCTATAGTATTTGAAATCTTTGTGGAGGATTAGAAAACAAAAGACCAAATTTAATTTTAAAATATAGTTTTGCCATATATATATATATTCTTTATTAATTTATTTTTTTGAGTCGAGGTCTCATGCTATTGTTCAGGCTGGAGTGCAGTGGCTCAATCATGGCTCACTACAGCCTCAACCTCCTGGACTCAGGCAATCCTTCTGCCTCATCCTCCCCAGTAGCTGGGACTACAGGTGTGCACCACCACACCTGGCTATTTTATTTTATTTTTATTTTTTGTAGAGACAAGGTCTCACTATGTTGCCTAGGCTGGTCTCTAACTCCTAGGCTCAAGCCATCCTCCTGTCTTAGTCTCCCAAAGTGCTAGGATTACCGGTGTGAGCCACCATGCACAGCATAGTTTTGCCATATTTTAAGCTATGGTATTATCAATTAACCTTTTAATTGCTAATTTAATTTTGCTTTATCTCTAAAACAAATGGCATTTCCATGACCTTTTCTATTCTGGATAATGTAATAGAGTTAAAAGAAAGATACTTTATTGTTTTATCAGTATGTTTTTGGAACTTTTTTGTTGTTTTAGGTGTTTGTAATACAGATAACTTCAGCTTGTTATCCATCACAATTGACTATGGTCCATTTGGTTTTATGGAAGCCTATAATCCAGGTGTGTATTATTTACATATGCATGCATACACTGCACACCTTATTTCACTAAAAATCCCATCACAGTTTTATTTTAGATAAAATGTTATAGGTAGTACAGTGATGGGGTAGTAGAAAGAATTGGGTCATAAAATGGCCATTTTAATGTGGCTATTAGATCTTCTAGTTGCCATAAGTGATACAACAATAAATCCTTTGTGGTCTCTGTTTTTTACTTTTATTTTTAGAGACAGAGTCTCACTGTGCTGCCCAGGCTGGAGAGCAGTGTAGCAATCATATCTCACTGCAAGCTCAAACTTCTGGCCTCAAGCAATCTTCCCACCTCAGCCTCTTGAGTAGTTGGGACTACAGGCACGTGCCACCACTCCTGGTTAATTTTTAAGTGTTTTGTAGTGACAGTGTCTCACTGTGTTGACCAGGCTAGTTTCAAACTCCTGGACTCAAGTGATCCTCCTGTCTCAGCCTCCCAGAGTGCTGGGAGTATAGGCATGAACCAACACACTTGACCCCTTTGTGGTCTCTGCCCTCAAGGAATTACTTACTAGAGAAGATAGCATAACGCAGTAAGGCAGACATCATGTTGTCAGACAGACATGGGTTTGAATTCCAGCATCTGACCCTTAATGGCTTGTACCTTTGGAAAAGTTACTTAACTTCTCAATCTTCTAATATATAAAGTGGAGGTAGCAGGAATACGGTACTTACTACTGGAGGGATCGGAGAAATCTTTGTGGAGGACGAGCTACTTGAGCTGGAAATTGAAGTACATATGCGATAAACTGGAAATTCTTTTAACTTAGAATTGTATTTCTCTGTGAGACAAATGTTTATATTTTAAAAACTTTTAGTTATGTATGGTTATTAAGCATTTTTATACTTTTGAGTTAAATATTTAATGTCAGAAATATTTCTATCTAATAAATATAAATGTACTAAGTTTAAATATAAGGTTAAAGACAAAGAAGTTAGCTATTACTATAATTATCCCCACTCTAAAGTTGTAGTGTTTTGTTTTAAATACAGATTTTTTACCAAACACATCTGATGATGAAAGAAGATATAGAATAGGAAATCAGGCAAATATTGGAATGTTTAATTTAAACAAGTTGTTACAAGCTCTAAACCCATTACTGGATCCTGGGCAAAAGCAGCTGTGAGTAAATCCTAAATCTATTCATAAAATTTGTGTGAAAATATATTTGTATACCAACCATTTTTTGGAAAGCAAGGAACTAACATTTTTAAAAACCATTTTATTGTTTAGTCTTTAAGCATTTCAAACTATATATTTTTCTATAGTATAATTTGGGCTTTTTTCCCCATGGTTATTAGGGTACAGTTTTTCTTATTTATTGCTTTTTAGATGTTGTGAAATCTGTTTATTTCCTATTTGATCCATAGGTTACTTATTACTGAATTTATTAATTTCCAAGTAGTTGGAATTATTTTGTCTGTATTTTTATGATCAAATAATATGTTTGGTAAGACCACAACTATTCAAAATGTGTTACGGTTTCTGCATGGCCCAATGTGAAACATTTTTGAACATGTTTGATGGTCATATGTAAAAATGTAAATTCTCTAGTCATAGGTTTTAATATATAAAGTTGAGTGCATTGATTGTATTTTTTCAGTTCTTTATGACCCTATTTATTTTTAATCCATTAGAAAAGTTTGATTCTTATGTGATATATTAAAAGCTCCTACTTTGATTATATTTTTATCAAGTTATTTTTGCTAATTGCTTTAAATTTCTATGCTTATGTTTTTTCAATTGTTTGAAATTTTGCTATGTATTATTAGTACATATAGGTTTTTACCTTACATTTTCTTCAAAAACACATACCTTTTATCCTAACAGTGACCCCATTAACACTCAATTTCAACTTATCTGACATTAATATGCCATTTATGCCATTTATGCTTTCTTCTTCTTGGGTTTGCTTTAAGTCTCACTTTACTTCTTTAGACCTATCTTTAATTTTATTTTTATTTATTCATTTGTCTTTATCTTTTTAAAAAAGTGTGTTTCTTATAAAAACAAACAAAATATATAGTCAGATTTTAATTCAGTGTGATGGTTTGTTTACTAATAAAAAGTATGTAGACTCTTCACATTTATTAAAACTGGTATGTTTTATTTATTCCTTGTGTCTTACATTTTGCTCAATCTTTATTTTACTGCTGTTTTTTATTTTATTTTATTTTAAAGTTGTGGGGTACAAGTCAGGATTGCATACATAAGTGGCTTAGGTACAGGTGAAGTTTTGGACCTTCCATTGGACCTCACTTCACCTGGATTAGGATCAGGCACCCTTATTGATGCTATGTGTTCCTCCCTCCCCTGGAAGTCTCCCACTAGTGCCAGTCCCTTTTCTGTAGTATTATGATAAGTGTTCAGGGTCCACTTTTGAGTGAGAACATGCGGTACTCAGTTCTTTGTTTCTGTGATAGATCACTGAGTATGATAGATTCCAAATTCATCCAAGTTGCTGCAAAGTCCATAATTTTGTCCTTCTTTATGGCTACATAATTTTCCAACATGTATATGTACCATATATTTTTTTTATTCAGTTTAGTTTCAATGCGCAGCACAATTGGTTCCATGTTTTTGCTGTTGTGAATAATGCTGCAATAAACATGCATGTACAGGTGTCTTTTTTATAGAATGATTTGAGTTTCTCCGGATACATTCCCAGAAGGGGGATTGCTGGGTCGTATGGAAGTCAATTTCTAGTTTTTTAAAAATCTTCATATTATTTTCCATAGAGGTTGGACTAGTTTTCACTCCCACCAACAGTGTAGAAGTGTTCCCTTTTCTCCACATCCTCGCCATCATCTGTTGTTTTTGTTTTATTAATGATGGCCATTCTTACTGGAGTTGGAGGGTATTAAAATGTGGTTTTGATTTGCATTTCTCTGATTAGTGAGGCTGAGCATTTTTTCATGTGTCTGTGGCTGCTTGCATATACTCTTTTGAGAAGTGTCTATTCGTGTCTTTTGCCATCCTCCCCCCCTTTTTGTGTGTGTGTTGGAGTCTCACTCTCTCGCCCAGACTGGAGGGCAGTGGCTTGCTCACGGCCACCCCAGCATCAGCTCTCTAGGCTCTGGTGACCTTCCGTTTCAGCCTTCCAAGTAGCCGGAATTACAAGCGTGCACTACCATGCCTGGCTAATTTTTTAAAAATTTAATTATTGTAGGGACAAGGTCTTGCCCAGTTGCCCGGGCTGGTCTTGAACTCTTGGGCTGAGGCAATCCACTCGCCTCAGACTCCCAAAGTGCTGGAATTACAGGCCGAGCCACCAAGCCCGGCCTTTTTGCCCATTTTTAAAATGGGGCTATTTGTTTTTTTCCTTTCAACACGATTGAGTTCCTTGTAGATTCTGGATGTTAGAAGTCTTTGTCAGATATACAGTTGGCAAATGTTTTTTTCCCATTCTGTGGGCTGTCTCCCCACTCTCTTGATGGTTTCTTTTGCTTTGCAGAAGCTTTTCAGTTTCTTGAGGTTCCCCTTGCCTATCTTATCTCTTATGGCATGGGCATCTGAGGTTTTGATCAGGAATTGGTTGCCTATTCCAATTTCCTTAAGGGTGTCTCTTGCATTTTCTAAGATTCTTATAGTTTGAGGTTTTGCATTTGGGTCTTTGATCCATTTGGAGTTGATTTTTGTGTATGTTGATAGTTAGGGGTCCTGTTTCATTCTTCTGCATGAAGTCAGCCAGTTTTCCCAGCATCATTTACTGAATAGATTCTCCTCTTCCCAATGTTTGTTGGTGGAAATTTTATTGATAAATTTAGATTTTGCTTTTGGAATCTCTATTCTGTTCCATTGGTCTATATGTCTGTTCTTGTACCAAAACTAGGATGCTTTAATTATCGTAGTCATATAAACAAGTTTAAAACAGCACAGGCATATAGATCAATGGAATAGAATTGAGATTCCAGAAGCAAAAACCTCAATTTCTCAATCAACTCATCTTTGACAAAGCCTCCACCACCTACCACTGGGGAGAGGAGAACCTATTCAGTAAATGGTGCTGGGAAAACTGGCTGACCACATGCAGAAGATTGAAACAGGACCCCTATTTATCCCCATGCACAAAGGTTAATTCCAAATGGATCAGAGACCTAAATGTAAAACCTCAAGTCATAAGAACCTTAGAAAATGAAGGAAAAACCCTCATGGAAATCAGAACTGGCATCCAGTTCCTGAACAAAACCCAAAACCCACAGCTTATAAGAGAGAAAATAGACAAGTGGGACCTTAATAAACTGACAAGCTTCTGCAAAGCCAAAGAAACCATCAAGAGAGCAGGGAGACAGCCTACAGACTGGGAAAAAGTGTTTGCCAACTCCAGGTCTGACAAAGGCTTAACATCCTGGATCTACAAGGAACTCAAACGTGCTGAAAAGAAAAAAACAAACAACCCCATTATAAAATGGGCAAAAGATATGAACAGACACTTCACAAAGGAAGACATCCGAGCAGCCAACAAACACATGAAGAAATGTTCAACCTCACTAATCATCAGGGAGATGCAAATCAAAACCACACTGAGATACCACCTAACTCCAGTCAGAATCAACAACTCAAAAAATAACAGCTGCTGGAGAGGGTGTGGTGAAAAAGGAACACTTCTACACTGTTGGTGGGAGTGTAAACTAGTGCAACCTCTGTGGAAAGCAGTGTGGCGATTCCTAAAAGCTCTAAATACCAACCTCCCATATAACCCTGCAATCCCCCTACTGGGAATATATCCTGAAGAACACAAATCACTCTATAAAAAAGATACCTGCACACACATGTTTATCGCAGCATTGTTCACAATAGCAAAAACCTGGAAACAGCCATGCTGCCCGTCAAAAGAGGACTGGATTAAAAAAATGTTGTACATATACACGATGGAATACTATGCAGCCATAAAAAAGAACAAAATCATGAATTTCACAACAAACTGGATGGAACTAGAGTCTATAATATTGAGTGACCTCTCACAGAAACAAAGATCCGAATATCACATGTTCTCACTCATATAATGGACCTTAAACATCCAATGCAATACTATACGAAAATGACTGACCGTACTGGGAAACTATGTTGGGGGGAGGGAGATGGAATTAACAGTAGCAAATATCTGTCTGGGAGTGGGGAAACACCCCATATCAACAGGGTGCCTGAATGAAACGCAATTGTATACCTAACCCTTAACTGTACCCCACAACTTCATAATAAAGAAAAAAAAAAAGTTTAAAATCTGGGAATGTGTTACCTCTTGCTTTGTTTCTTTTGCTGAGGATTGTTTGGCTATTTGTAGTCATTTTTGTTTCCATATGAATTTCTGTGGTGTTGTTTCCATGTCTGAGAAGAATGATGATGGTAATTAAATGGATTGATTCTGCATTCAAGTGCATTAAATGCATTGAATCTGTGGATTGCCTTTGGAAGGATGGACATCTTTCAATGTTGATTCTTCCAATCCATGAACATGGAATATTTTTCCATTCATTTGTGTCTTCTTTGATTTCTTGGAGTAATATTTTGTAGTTTTTATTGTACAAGTCTTTCACTTCTCTGATTAGGAAGATGCCAAGGTATTTCATTTTTTTGTGCCATTTGTGGCTGGGATTGTACTTTTTATTTGGCTCACTGCCTGTTTGTTGATTATATATGACAATGCGATTGTCTTTTGCACATTGATTTTATGTCCTGAGACTTTGCCAAAGTCCTATATCAGTGCAAGGAGGTTTTTGACAGATTTCCTTGGGTTTTCCAGGTATAGGATCATATCATACGCAAAGAGGCATAGCTTAACTTCCTCTTTTCCAATTTACATACCCCGATATCCTTCTCTTGTCTGATTGCTTTAGCTAGGACTTCCAACACTATGTTGAACAGGAGGGGTGAGAATGGGCATTCTTGTCTTATTCTGGTTTTCAGAGGAAATGCTTCCAATTTCTGTCCATTTAGTAACAGGTTGGCTGTGGGTTTATCATAGATTGCTTTTACTATTTTGAGGCATGTTCCCTCTATACCTAGGTGCTCAAGGGTTTTTATCAGAATAAATAATAAATAATATAAATAATATGGATTTTTCAAAAGGCTTTTTGGCATCTAATGTTATAATATTGTAGTTCTTATTTTTATGTCTATTG